GGTGTGGTCCAGGGCACAGGGCAGGGCGTCTGTGTGTTGGGAGGTGGACGGAAGGCTTGTCAGCTGGTCCTCTTTGGAGCAGCCCTCCTGGGGCCGCCTGTGACTCTGTCCCTTCTCTCTTTTCTGACAACGTAAAGCCCCTTCCGGAGCCACACAGCCCCTGCCAGCAATTCCAATGCCACTTTCCAGCCTGGCCCCGTGACGGTCAATCCTCTCTGTTCTTCAGTCCGTCCAAGGGGAACAGTAATACCTATTGCATGTGGTGAGTGAGGAGGAAGCTAGATGAAGAATTTAGCACATAGTAGGTGCCCACTAAGCACACACACAGACACACACAAGCATGTCCTTCCACACACACACACACATGTGTCCCTGGGCAGCACACACATGTTCACTCCTCTGTTCATTCAGTACACTGAGCACGAGGTGCTCATGCCAGCTGGATGGGGGCGGGGACGCCGACACCTACACCCTAGCATTCAGCAGCGTGTGACACACTCCCAGGCCAGTGCCCGGCCGGCCCCTTATCTCCTCTGAGAATGCTCAAGGCGGCCAGGTGGCAGAGCCTCTCTCTCAGTAACTTTCCACAACCTGAGAGAAGCTTCGTCTCACTGGGACACGGGGGAGGGGCATTGTCCCTAGGGCGCCCCTTCTGCTGGCCTTGTCCTCCCTGGGCTGAGTTTTCGGGTGGAGGGGTGAGCCTTCCAGCCTGTGCTGGGGCTGAACTGATTAACCTCCAGCTCCACCACCTGGGATGTCCCGCCCGGGGCCCCAGTGCACCTTGGCCTGGCCTCTGCCAGCACCTACCCCACAGGGCCATGCTTTCCGAGGTCCCTGCTGGGCCATGTCCCCTGCCGGTCTGGGTGCCGGCACTCAGCACGGAGCGGGTGATCATGAGCTAAACTGTATTGCGTTTCAATCCTGCGTCCAGGGCACGGCGAGCTGTATGCAGTGGTGGTTAAATGTGGGGGCTGGGCATGGCACTGCCTGGGCAGCCTGGCAGGGCCTCAGTCTCCTCCTGTCAAGTTAGAATAAGGATGGCACCTTCCTCAGAGGGTTGTTCCCAGCACTAAATGAAGGAACACGTGCCAAGCGCAAAGGGAAGAGCCTGGCCCCACACAGGAAGCCCTGTTCTGCCTTGTGCACTCCGGAGCCACTGGCCCTCAGTGTCCTGGGCTCCAGGCCCCCCAAAGTTTACAGGCTGCTGAAACTGCCCAGCACAGCTCCCCTCACAAATGGGGGGCGTCCGTGTGAGCTGGGGGATGTTAACAGCCAATTTATAAACGGGGCCGGGATACATGTGCTCAGGAGAGAGGAAACAATCCCGAGCTCTGCCGGCTGGGGCGGGCCAGGGCAGGAGGGCGGCCCAGGAACGCTGGGCAGAGGAAGTGGCTTTTGATCCTGAACAGGAAGGGCTGTTCCAGTGGCGGAGAAAGGGAGGAGGAGGCGACGGGGATGATAGGATCACTAGGGCACACTGACCCACGTGCCCGCCCTGTGCCAAGCCGGCTCATGTAGACCTCTCAACCACCCCAGGAGGCGGGAGCTGGGGCACAGATGGGCGGGGCGGCAGGTCAGAGGGCCTGACCCCATTATCAGCTTCGGAGGAAGAGTATTTGTTGACGAGGGCTGCACACTAGGAGGACACCCCGGCATTCATAAACAGGTGGGCACCCATCCTGCCCCGTTCTTGCTTCGGGGGACGCAGGTGTGGACTTGACGGACAAGACCCGGCTCTCACCGGAAAGGAGAGAGAAAACGAGTGTCCTGCATCCGGAGATAAGAACTCTGCAAGGAAGTAGCGCGGGCTGCGGGAGGGGATCAGCGATTCGCGGAGGGCAGGGGTCTTCGGGCAGCAGGGCGGCTCGGGTGCAGGAGGGCGGCGCGGGATGCTGCAGAGGGGCGCTCCCCATAGCAGCTGATGCCCGCCACGTCCCTGCCAGGAGCCCCCCCTTTGCAGCTGAGGAACCCCATTTGCGCGGCCAGTGGGGGACGTGGGGCGCCCACGCAGGTTCAGAGGGCGGGGCCTCTTCGCCCGCGGGACCCACCTGAGCCTGTGCCCGAGGGAGCGGGGCCTCCCACGGGGGCGGGGCCGGCGGCTCGGGGCAGGGCGCGCGTTCTGGCCCCGCCCCCCGCAGGACCGTTGCTTTGGGGGCGGAACCTTCGCGCGGCGGGGGCGGGCGCGCGGGGAAGGCTTTGTGGCGGCGCCGGGGCCCGCATCGTGGGAGTCGCAGCTCAGGGCGGCGCGGCGTCCGCTCCGCTGCCTCCCGGGTGCGCGCGCAGCCCCCGCCGCGCAGCCGCCCCCGCGGCCCCGCCCAGCGCCAGGCGTGCGGCCGCCGGGACCGCGGAGACCGGACCGCTGAGCTGGAGGCGGCGGCGGGGGCGCGAGCTCCGACCTGCGTCCAGGCGGCGCCGCAGGTGAGAGGCGGGCGGGGCGCCCGTCGGGCCCCCTGACACTCCCGGGGTCCCCGGCCACTTCCGAGACCCCGGCGGACTCCGGTTCCCAACAGCCCCGCTCCCCCCCCCCCCCCCCCGGGACACCCAGCCCCCAGCCTCCTCGGGGCCCGCCCCGGCTTCCTGGCCTGCCGGTCCCCGGCCACTCCGGCGCCTGCCGCTCTCAGGACTCCTCGCACCCCAGACCCGTAAGGCTTTTCCCCGGGACGACTTCCCACCACCGCAGGGCCCGGGGTCCCCCAGGAACCCCCTCCGGATGCGCTCAGGACCCTGAGACAGGCCTCCTCAGAACCCCCTGGGCCGCGGGGGCCTGGGTGCCGCCCGTCCTGAGCGCCCGGCTGGCCCCCACCCCCCACCTGCCCCGGGTTCCGGCCGGTGGGGCGCCCTCTCCACCCCGGCGGGTCCCAGGGCGGGCTTCTCAGCCGAGGCCCCGGAGCGTGGGCGTGTGTGAGTAGCCGCGGGCGTTGTGAATTCCCGGTGATAAAATACAGGCGGAGGCGCTAATAGGCCACCCGGTGACCCTTGGTTACCCCAGGAGCAGGGGCCGGGCTCTCCGCGCCCACATTCGCATGCGTGTTGACTGTTGCGGCGGCCGGAGCGGGGCGGTGTTTAACTTTTAATGCTCCTTGGCGGTGAGGAGTCTAGAGTCGGAGCCGACGGGGCGGGGGCGGGGGAGGAAGCAGGTGAGGGACTGGCAGGTGAGGGTGCCTGGGGCTTGCCTTCATCTTTCCCTCCTGGCATTAACATTGTTTCAATGCCCGATGGTTCCCAGGACTTGGTGCTGGACTTAGAGGCGACTCAGTCCCTGCTCAGGGCCCCCTTGGGGGAGGAGGGGAGGGGGGGAGGGGGAGGAAGCAAATAGGTAGTTTTTAATATGATGATGACAGTGTAGCTAGCGGCCTGAACTCAGGGGGGAGGGGTGGGTTCTCAGAAGGCTGTTCAGGAGGGCTCCTCCCAGGGGAGGAAGTGACAGGTAAGGGGCGGGCTGATGCCTGAAGGTTGCCAGGGCCATGCCAGGCCGAGGGGACAGGGTGGCACGGCAGGGAGGCAGCTACAAAGCAACCGGGTTTGGAAACCAAGAGGTATGTCTGGAGCATACATCCATCCTGGGGCGAGGTGGCTGGAGCCATATGGTCTCCCGTAAGGAAAGAGGTTCTCAGGGTGGAGTTAGAGGGGCTTTTAAAGGGCGGGGGGGGGGGGCAGCTTTGTTCCCGAGGCCCCCATGCCCTTGGACCTTTCCTTTTTTTAAATATATTTTATTGATTTTTTTTACAGAGAGGAAGGGAGAGGGATAGAGAGTTAGAAACATCGATGAGAGAGAAACATCCATCAGCTGCCTCCTGCACACTCCCTACTGGGGATGTGCCAGCAACCAAGGTACATGCCATTGACCGGAATCGAACCTGGGACCCTTCAGTCCAAAGGCCAACGCTCTATCCACTGAGCCAAACCGGCCAGGGCGGCCCTTTCTGGAATTACGGCCTCTACCATCCCCCTGAGCCAGTGACGTTCCCTGGGCAGGGAAGGGAGAGGAGCTGGTCGCTGGAGGGGGTGAGGGAAGTGTTCCGAGGAGAGACCACAATGGGAGAAACTGGGAAGTCTGGCCCAGTGCAGGGTTTGAGGCGGGCGAGGGAGTCAAGACCAGAGCATGGAACCTTCTGGAAGCCTGGAAAGGCTTACGGTTTAAGGGAGGCCGTGGGAGGGTTTAGGAGGGAGTGAAGATGGTTTTTGTGTTGTTGTTAATCCTCAACCAAGGATATTTTTCCATTGATTTTTAGAGAGAGTGCAAGGGAGGGGGAGAGACAGACAGAAACATCGATGTGAGAGAGAGACATCCATTGGTTGCCCCCTGCATGCGCCCCAACCAGGGCCGGGGATCGAGCCTGCAACCGAGTTACGTGCCCTTGACTGGAAATGAACCCGGGACCCTTCAGTCCGCAGGCCAACCCTCTCTCCACTGAGCCAAGTAGGCTAGGGCGGTGTTTGTGGTTTTGGACACTCACTGTCCGGGCGCAGGAGGACGGTTGGAGGGAGCAAGACCACAGAGAGGCGGCAGTGACCTGGGCAGGGCGGTGGCAGTGGGGCCTGGCTTCCCCTGGCACAGCTGCGCTTCAGGGTGAGCTCTCTCCTGCCTGAGCCTGCGGAGTTCTGGGCATGGCTGCCGGAGCTTTCACCCTCCTGGTCTTCATGCCAAAGGGCAGGTGGTCCCCCAGGGCCGCCTCAGGGGTGACCATCGGGTGTCCCAGGGAGCCCAGCACCCACGCAGGAGGTGCAGGCGCCGCCGGGGCTGGATGAGAGGCTGATGCTCAGAAGCAGCAGACCCTGAGGGTGTGGCCGGCGGGTCTGAGGGCGATGGAAAGCCCTTGGAAGGCAGACCTGCAGCGTGTCCGTCCGAAACGTCGCTCTGGAGGCAGTGTGGGGCCAGAGGGCTGGAGGGACAGCTGGGGGGCCCGGAGCAGAGGCAGGGGGTGTGGCAGGGAGACTTAGGAAGACAAAGCCGCAGGACGAGGTGGAAGTCTGGACTCGGGAGGGAGGGGGAGGCCAGGAGGGTGCTCACGGGAGACTGAGCTGATGCAGGGGTCGGGCCTGTGCTCCTCGCGGCTTTCACGCGTGTAGAATGTGACTAGCGTGGCCGGGGAGCAGAATTGTCAAATGCAAAGGGTTTGGTGGGAAGCAGGCGGTTCTCGGCTTGTTCTTTTAAATGTCATCTCTTTTCTCCTCCCACAGTCCTGTGAGGTGAAAGTATTATTCCTTTTGTGCAGGTGAAGGAAGCAGGGCCGATGGTAGAGCGAGGGGTGTCGGGTCGTTGAACTTCCAAGGCTGGGCTCTTTCAGGGAGACCCCACTTCCTGCCCCCAGGAGCCTGAGGGTCTTGCCAGGAGCGAGCAGTCCCGAGGGCAGCCTTGCTCCCGCCCAGCCCCCCTGAGTTGTTCCCTGCTAGGGCCCGTGACAAACGCCAAGAGCAAACAAAACTGTCCGACTCCTCGAACTCTGACATCTTCCCACCGGCTTCTCTCAGGTTTTGGAAAATGAATGGGTTAGGGCCTAACCATTAGGCAGCAGGTGGAACTGCGGATCACCCCCACTGCGGGCTTGTTACTTTAGGGTGCGTGTTCCCGAGCAGTGGTGGAAGGTTCGGTGGTAAAGGCAGAAGCTAGGGCCGTGGGTGAGGTGTTGGAGGCACCGTGGACCAGGGAATGAGCGCCCAGCGCAGTGCAAGTGACAGAACAGGAGTGAGTGGCCCCTAGTTCCGGGGGGACCTTGACCCAGTCACTGCCTTGGAGCCTCAGTGTTCCTTCTGTAAAAGGCATTTGGCATCGCATGGTCTCCAGGATCCTCCAGCTCCAGGAGTCTGTCCCTTTAAGTTGAGTCGGAGGTTTGCTTTCTAGAATCTAGAGCATCGCTGGTTTCCCGTGGGACGGATGAGTGCCGGCCTCTGAATTGGTGTGTTTGACCATTATTGGCTTATCGCTAGGAACACATCTATTTGAATTATGCAACGTGTCGGCGCTGATGGACAAACTGTAAAGCAGTTAATGATTTATCGGTTGGCAGGGTTCCCAGTAAAATGCCAAGTGTATTTGTGTGCCAGTCTGAGCCGCGCCGACATCAGGAGAAAACGTGCAGACTGTTTCCGCGGCGGTTGGCCTCCGAGAGGGTTGAGTGGCGCGGCCAGGTGAGCGGTGGCAGAGGCCACTCCTGGGTACGGAGAGGGTGGCTGGGGGGCCAGGCGTGTAAAATGCTCAGGACTTTCCCTTCACCCCAGGCAGGGCGCCAAGTGCCATCATTAATGTTGCTTTTTGAACTAAACTGTGACCTTTACATTTTTTATTCATAATTTTGTTATTTTCTTGGTTTGAGCATTTATTCCCAAGCAACTCTGGAGGCACTGGTTTCAAGAAGCAAGTGAGCACATTTTGATTATTACAAAATGAACATTCTCTCTGCCCCCATCATAATTCATTGACTCAATAAAAGTGATCGGTTTAAGTAGCATGTGTTCAAATTAAGGCTTTGTGTTTTCTGTAAATTGAAGGAGTTACATTTTATCAGAACTGTGGTTAAGTTTTTTAAAAATTCATTTTCCACCTCCATTTATTCCCCCTACATCCTCTTGCACCCCTCCTCCCCCCGCAAGTGGGTGCATTAATACGCAGTTCTAGTGACTGCGTGGGAAAGTGAGCTGCAGCGAGGGAGAGCGCTGGCTGCTGAGGCGGCCGCAGGAGCAGGTCAGCATTTATATTCAGCTCTGCGTCTGCCCACAGCGCGCCAGTGGTGTGTGCCGCGGGCTTTCCATGTGACAGATTTGGAAACCGAGGTTCAGAGCGGCCTCCCGCGGGGAAGTGGCGGGGTTTCCTCGCCTCCAGACCTGTGCTCTTCCCCGTGTCCCCGTGGGGCCCGCGCTGCTTCCAGTGGAGAGGTTGCCGTCCCTGGCAGTTCTGGAAGCTTCCTGTGGTCCCTCTGCACCTGTTTCCCGCGCAGGTGCACCTACTCATGCTCATCGAACTCCCCTGAAACCATAACCACAGCACAGGGGACGCTGGTGGTCGCGGGTGTGCTTGTCAGACGCACGTGAAGAGTTGCTCTTGTTGCCGTGATTTCTGCTCCTGTGGCCCCTCCCGAGTCTGCATGGAACCAGAGCGCCTCGAGGGCAGTTGTGGGGATGCAACCAGAGGAACGGGGGGCATGGTGTGAGGGACCTGCAGTGTCAGTGTTTGGGGGGGCTGGGAAGTGCCTGCTCCATGGTTCCCAGGCTTCCAGACCTGCCAGGTGGTTCGAATACAGTTGATGGGTTTTGGCCCCTTTAAGGACATTCCAGACCTCAGGAAGGACACCGGTTACATGGGTTACACTTAAACTGGTATCTCCAAGTCTCGGGGCTGCTGGGAGTAGCACATTTATACTGCGTAGCAGTCCCTCATTTCTGATGTGGGTCACTACTGTTTTCTTGACATTTTTGTCATCCTTCTAATCGTCATGGCTGTGGAGACGGGGGTGGCGAGTGCATCCGACACCCCCCAGGGCCTTAGCTGGTTGTAGGTTCTGTCCCTGGCTGGGTGGGGGTTGGGGGGGCTGGGTTGTCAGCTCTGGTGCTGGGGCTCACCACTGGCTCACCCTCCCAGGAGGGCAGAGTTCCAGAGTGCAGGCTCTGGAGTCAGAGCTTATCAAACTCTTTGTTGTGATGGTGGTGTTAATCCTCACCGAGGATATTTTTCCATTTTTAGAGAGAGTGAAAGGGAGGGGGGGAGGGAGGGAGAAACATTGATGTGAGAGAGACACATTGATTGGTTGCCTCCTGCATGCGCTCTGAACAGGCCTGGGAACAAACTTGCAACCCAGGCATGTGCCCTTGATTGGGAATCGAACCCATGGCCCTTCAGTGCCCAGGCTGACACCAGGGCAAAGCACTTATCAAACGCTTGCTTGCTTGCTTGCTGATATCCCATCGGCCAAAGAAGTCATATGACCAAGCCTAGAGTCAGTGGGTGAGGGGCCTATATGAGGGTATGGTTACCAGGGGGCGCAGTGGTGGGGGGGAGGTCTTTAACAGGCTAGCACAGTGGGGTAGGGAGTGGAGGGCGGGGCTTGTTTTGCCAGCTGTAAATGACAGCTGGTGTTTGTAGTTTACTCTCTCATGCATCGGGACTCAGTTTGAGGAGCATTTATTTAGTGCTGGATGCTGGGAATTCAAAGAATAAGGCAATCTCCGGCTACTCGGAAGCTAGTTCATAAAATACTCCTAATCTCACAAGTGAAGCAGAAGCGTCCTGCTAAGACTCATTTGGGCTTTTAGGTAACACGGGCAGGAGCTGCTCACGCGGGTCTGTGCCGGGGCCCGTGGTGCTGCTAGAAAGCGCCACTGGGTCCGTGGGAAGAAATGGGCTGCTGTGATGACTTGGTGTTGGCCCTGCAAGCTGTGGTGACAACAGAATCACCAAGGAAACCAAAAGATGCAGCTTCTGGAAGTCCCTGGAGGCGTTTGTTATGTTATCTGGAACCCGACTGGCCTAGAAGAGCTGGATGGGCGCACACGCGGGCTGGCTGTACGTGCTGAGCTTCTAGGGTCCCGTGCTCCGGGCTTTGGGTGTCTCCTGCTTGGCCTTGTGTGCAAACAAGGAGAGGTTTGGAGTGCTTTCTAGGGTACGGAGATGCGGCTCTGTGATTGTGCTGCTGTGGAACAGGAAATGAGGTAATGTCTTGTAAGGTCCTGTTGCACGAACCTAAATGCCTAAATATGGGCAGCTGAGCCCTCGCTGCAGTCGCGGAGCTGCGGGATAATCGGTGCTTCCAGGCGGCCCCTCAGCTGCCGGGAGACGTCAGTGCGAGCCTGGGGAGGTTCCGTGTGAAGCTGGGCCGGCTCCAGCCTTCAGCTCAGGCCCAGGGAGAGGTTGGAGCCCTTCCCCAGCAACCAGCCGGCGAAGCTCGCTGCAGGGGCTCAGTTGTCAGAGCGAGAACTTGTTCTTTCGGGAAACTCTGAAATCACTTGATGAGGAGTTAAGTCCAGCCCATAAAAGTTTCCATTGTTCGTACCTTTTTGCAGATGTGTACGTGCAATGTTCAGTTTTCAGTGTGTCGCTATAACCATGGATATATGGAGGATCAAAAGCAGTTGAACAATAATTAAAAGAATTAGAGATTTTTATGTTTTAATTAATCAATTTTTTAAAAATCAGTCACCTGAAGATATGTGTATACACACACATATATATGTATTTTTTTTTTTTACTGATTTTAGAGAGGGGAGGGAGGAGAGAAACATTGATGTGAGAAAGAAACATCTAGTGCAGGGGTGGGCAAACTTTCTGACTTGAGGGCCACAATGGGTTCTTAAACTGGACCGGAGGGCCAGAACAAAAGCATGGATGGAGTGTTTGTGTGAACTAATATAAATTCAAAGTAAACATCATTACATAAAAGGGTACGGTCTTTTTTTTTTTTTTTAGTTGTATTCATTTCAAACGGGCCGGATTCGGCCCGCGGGCCATAGTTTGCCCACGGCTGGTCTAGTGGTTGCCTCCCATACGTACCCTGACTCTGGATCGAATCTACAACCTGAGTATGTGCTCTGACCGAGAGTCAAACCCCATGTGACCCCTGGTGGGAGCGGGTGGCTAGGGCCCCGCACCTGCCTGGCTGCTACCGGGCAGCTGGCTCGCTGGGGAACGGGTTCCTCACGCTTGGAGGAAGTCGCAGACGCCTTTTGGGGAAGCTCCGAGTCCTGCCCCTGGGTGACACCTAGTGACAGAGTATAGGCGTCTTCAGGGGACATTTGTAGGCTCCGTGTGCTCTGAAGCGTAATGTGCCTAGAAACGGATCTTGGAAGATTATTTTAGGTGACCTGATTCTAACTGAGGAAAAAAAGATGACACATCTAAAAACGGTGGTCCGCGCCCCCCCCCCCCCCATGCTGGTTAGGATACTGCAGAGAGGCGCTTATGTACCCCGCTGCCCGCCGTCTGGAAGACAGCTTGGTGGCGCGAGCTGGCGTGTTTCACAGGCTCCCATCCTGTAACTCAGCAGTCCTGCCTCTCGGGAACTCCCCATACATCCCTTCAAAAGGTGGGGACACTTCGTGCACCGGGTGGTGGTTAGAGTGTCTGGCAGCGTCCTGCATGAGGGTTGGAGGCTGGGGATGCAGATAAAGGAAATGATGGCATGTCAGGGAGGCAGGGTTCCAGGGATGTGGCCGTACACTTACACCTATGCATCATGCTCATAACATACAGGAAGTGCTGTGGTTCTAACGCATGGAAAGAGGAGGGTGTGAACAGTGGTCTCAATGAGCGTGCAGTTTAAAGTGCAATGTGTGGCGGGAACATGTACCTGTAATAACAGCTGTTGCTTGTGGTGGGATTCAGGGCTTTTTTTAGACGTTATTTTTCTGTATATTTTCTTGTTTCCAGTAAATAGTTCTGGAATTAGGGGGGATGGGATTCTGGGAAAATGATAGAATGTGGAGATAGTTTGGCAATGGCGATCTAGCTGGTTAAGGTCTTGTTTTGTGTAAGTGGAGAATTGACTGTTTATTGATTTCAGAGTGAGGAAGGGAGAGAGAGAGAGTGGGACAGACAGACAGACATTGATGTGAGAGAGAAACATCGATTGGTTGCCTCCCTTATGCGCCCCGTCCGGGGATCAAATTTGCAACCCAGGTGTGTATGTGCCCTGTCTGGGAATTGAACCCGCTACCTTGTGGTGTACGGGATGGCGCTCCAACCCTCTGAGCCATCCGGCCAGGGCTTGCCCTCTGACTGCGATGATGTCTTTGGACTGGATGTCAGTATGGCTACGGGAGGCCTGGCATCTGGGAACTTGCTGAGGGTCACGAGCCCCGGCAGATGCGGTACCCGGTGCCGGTGCGGGGAGCACACAGCTCCCGCCTGCGCTGCGCTGCGCCTCGCCGGCTCTTCCTCCGGTGGAAGCTCCTCGGGAACAAGCCCTGGGGGGCAGCGTGAGGACCCAGCACCCCTCCCCAGGCGCTGCAGGCCGGCCCGCGTTCCCGTCCGGAGCAGAGGCCGGAGCCGCAGCCGCAGCCCGGGGGAGGGACGGCGGCGCAGGAGCCGCTGACTCGTGTTTTGTGCTGACGCTTCTCAGGGGCCCAGTGTTAGCGAACGCCCGGGACCCCTCCTCACCCCCTTCCCTCTTCCCGGCACTAACCACACAGCTCCATCTGGGAAATGGAAGTCGCTTCTGACTAACTTCTCTCTTCAGGATTCACAGATGGATTCACTGGAAAAGACAACACACAGAAGTGAACAAAAGTCCAGGTAAATCAAGTGAACGCCGCTGGTGCAGGTTGGTAGCTCTGTCACCCGCAGCGGCGAGAGGGAGGGGAGAAGCTGGGTCTGACGGAGCCACAGGGGCTGGTAAGCCTCCGCGTCAGCATCGGCAGTGCCCCGGGACGTGCCCAGGACCTGGTCTCCCAGGAGCAGCAGGGTCGGGGGGGGGGGGGGGGGGGGGGCCCGGCTCAGACGGTGTGGCCGCGGGGGGCAGTCTGCCATAGACCCAGGTTACGCCAGGTCGGAGGCGCTGCTCTTGCAAAGCGCGGGGATAGGTGAGTGGCAGAAAACCAGCATTTGCCAGGATTTTCTGTCACGGGAAGCAGGGATCATTTCGCCGCCATCATTGTTTCCGAGCTCTTTGCGGCTTCGGAGAATTAAATGGCTGTGCTTGTTGTTGAGAGGGCACAGCACTTACCTGTGCGCTTCCCCCTGGGACTCGAACAAGGTGCTGCTGCCCCCACGTCCCCTGTGGGATGAGGATGGAGCGTGCAGGACAGACGGAGAACACAGTGCTCCTGCCGCGGCAGCGGGACGGGCGACGTGCCTGTGCGTGTGTGCATGTGCCAGGCCGACAGGGCCCAGCACCTGCGCGTCCCCGAATGCGCTGCCTCTGTTCGGGCGCCGCCCTTTCACGCGGACTTTCATTCTCTCCTCCGTTTTTAAGCAGAAAGTTTTTAAAAAGCCTCGTCCAGAAACAGCCGCAGGAGCTGCTGCTGGTGATCGGCACGGGCGTGAGCGCGGCCGCGGCCCCCGGCATCCCCGCGCTCTGCTCCTGGCGGAGCTGCCTGGAGGCCGTCATCGAGACCGCGGAGCAGCTGGACGTGCTGCACCCCGGGGACGCGGCCCAGTTCCGCAGGAAGGTGACGAAGGACCGGGACCTGCTGGTCGTTGCCCACGATCTGATCCGGAAGATGTCACCGGTGAGTGCTGCTCAGGTGTCCCGGGGTCACTTGGCTCTGGGCCAGGTGGTGAGTCTAGCGCCTACGTGTGTCTTGCTCAGAAGCGTCAGGCTGAGGAGCCGGGAATCTTCCCCTCCCTCAGAATCCCGCCTCGAAGCAGTGACGCCAGGGACAGCCGGGGGCTCCTGACACAGCCATGTTCCGTGGAGCCTGCCTGTGGGCTGTCGGGTGTCGTCTGGCTGCGCTGGGTCGAGCCTTGTGGTTTCCTGTCACTCAGTGAGGGGTTGCCTTGAGGTGCGCTTTGGGCCGGGGCTGGCCAGCCGCATCTCTGCAGTGACAGTGGTTCCTAGAAGCACTTCAAGGTGGGAGCAGTGCTGGCTCGTCTGCAGGTGGACGTGACCTGTGACCTGGTGGAGAGAAGCACTTGGTGCTGCAGGAGGTTGTGGCTGAGTGATGCCTGGAGTCGGGGTCGGTGCAGGAGTGGGGTCACCCTGCACAGGTGTGTGGCAGGTCACCATCACACGGGCCAGCTGCAGCGCAGGCGCAGACCTGGGAAGCAGACACTGCAGGGCCAGGACAGGTCCTCTCCTCACCCGGTGTTTACTGGAGAAGCACAGCTGTGGTCTGGGAACTGGGTCAGGAGGAGGAAGGGGAGGAGGAGGAGAACGAGGCCCAGCACAGGAGCAAGTGGGGAAAGTTGGCATTGGGAGCGTTTAGGCTGCCGTGGAAGGAGACCCCGCCACGGGCTTATGTGGGATTACACTTCGTTTCTCACATAGAAACCTGCAGGCTGCCCGACTGCGGAGCCCAGCTCCTTTTCCTGCTGCGCCAACACGGACCACTTCCGTTTCCACCATGTTGGCTAGTGTCACGCGGCCACACCCATTCTTCCAGGGTCTGGGCAGCGTCCCCATTGGTGTCTGTGCCGGATGTGGGTGTTCTGTGATGAGCAGCGAGGTCCCAGGACGGGTGGCCCTCCTGCTGCCTTTCTGTACGTGCAGCTCCGTGGGCTCCAGTGCTGTGCACAGAGCTCAGCAGTGGCACAGAGACTGGCCCGAGAAGCCCAGCGTGGTTCCTCTCTGGTCCTTTAGGGCCAGATGCCGGGCCTGTCGTGGGCAGAAGGGGAGGGGTCAGTGGGCTGAGAGGTGGCAGGGCTGCTGGGCAGACCTGCCCATCCAGGGGAGGGTGTGCACTTGAGGCGAGGCCAGGTGGGCTGCCACTTGTTTAGTCTGGGAGGTGAGCTTCATTCTACTCTTCTCTTTACTTTTGAAAACTTCATAAAAAAGAGTTGTTGCCAGGCGAGTTCAGCAGGCTGAGAGCAGGCGAGGTCGGTGGGGAGCTGGGAGTCAGGGCTGGGATTTGCCAGGGAATTAGTTCCAGCAAAGCCAGGGCAGGGCAGGGGGGCTGGAAGCTCCTCAAGGTAGTGGTTGTAGTGGTTGTGGGATCTAAGCTGCTCCTGGGAGAAGCCTGGCAGCGAGGGAGGGAGAGACCAGGCCAGTGGGGGCAGGTGCCTGGCTGCAGGTCGGATGGGGTGGATGTCCTGGGAGCTGCCGGGGCTAGAGAGCGGGGCAGGTGGAGGGAGAGGCTGAGCAGAGGTTCTGGAAAGGGTAATGGTGAGGTTTGGAAGGTGGCCATGGTGGGATGGGACCAGCTCATGGCAGGAGAGAGATGGGGGCGTGCCGAGACCTTGGTGCAGTAGGATCCCTTGGCACAAGCTGAAGGAAGTACAGCGGGGAGGCGACAGTGACCGGGAGCCACCCACACCCTCTGGATCAGGGAGTGGGAGAGCCAGTTTTCAGGTGGGCAAGGCGGTGAGGATGGAGGTGTGGGGCGTACTGAGGGCAGACCCCCCCAGGAACAGTGGGAGGGTTTTCAGAATTGGGGTGGGGGTCAGAAAGGGGAGTGCCCAGATGTGCTGTGCCAGCACGGCCAAGGGTGAGCCTGAGGAGAGGCGGTGAAGGATTAAAGAAGAAAACAGAATACAGCTGGGGCCCGGTGGGTCTCCTGTGCTTGGATGAAGACACAGAAAAAACCGAGCCTCCAAGCCGAGGCTTTATTTTATAGTCAGAGCACACAAAGCAAAACACGGGAAGTGGTCAGCATGTTTACAGTGTTCTTGTGGGTTTCACCTTGTTTTGGCAGCACTTGCTGCACCTCCCACAGCCCATTAGCTACCTGGGAAGGAACTAGGGAGGGCTGTAAGGTTAAGCTTACTTATGCTAAGAGGGCTCTGCCCTCCAAGCTGGGACTTGTTTGTGGCCCTGACTTAGGTCAATCCGAGGCTTGACCCTATGGCCGCTCCCTCCACCTGGAGCCACGGCCTCGGTGGTGATCTGAGAGCCTGTGACAGCTGACATCAGCGGGCTCGGAGGGCCGGGACAGAGGTGAATTCTGAGGGACAGCGGAAGCAGAGGCGATGGAGAGGCAGAGGGTGGGCGAGTGGGTCCGTGCCAATGCACAGCCCGGCTCCATTGCCCGTGGCTGCCCTGTGCGGGTGGCTGGCGAGGGGTGCTCTTCCTGGGAGTGCATCCTCTTGGCTTCCGCCCCTGCTTAGCTGACCCTTCCCAGCACAGCTCTTCCCAGGAGTCGTTTGTTTTCCTGTCGCCAGTTGCTTACCTCTCCTCCCACACCCATCCCATGGGTCCACTGCGGCAGCTCTTATCACGGCCACAGCACCCTTGGTGCTACCCCAGGGCCACATGCATTCTCATCCTGCGGATCCTCCGCCATGTGTGCCATTGAGACACACCATTCCCTAGACCCCAACGAAGGGAACACCCGTTGTGGGCAGCTCTCGGAGGGAAAGTCTTTCCCTTGGTCTTCAAGGCCCCACATGGTCTGGTGCTGGGTCACCTCTGGCCGCACCTGCTGACAGCCCCTCATTCCTCTCCTGCGCGGCGGCTCCTTGCTCACCTTGGACCCACCTGTGCTCTACCTCGGTGCCTGCGCTTGTTCCCGCCTCCGGGGATACTCTCTCCAGAGGCCCCAGTGCCAAATGCCCCTCATCACAGAGGCCCCCCTGCCTGCGACCCACCTACCCTGTGCCCAGCAGCAGCTGCCCCTTTCCTCTTCTCGGCGTCACTTTCCCCAAAGCACTTAGCACCATTGATGTATCATGTGTTTGTAAACGGTGTGTGTCCCTCCTCTAGAGTGTAATTAACTGCGAGGTCAGGGTCCCTTTCCTCCTCCCTTCCCTCCCTCGCACCCAGAGTATTGCCAGGTGGGGCTCATGTTGCCGAGAGGTGATGTGGTTGTAACTCCGTCCACCTTTCTGTAGCGGACGGGCGACACCAAGCCCAACTTCTTCCAGGACTGCCTGATGGAGATCTTCGACAACCTGGAGCAGCACCTCCAGCACCCACAGGTGCTGCAGTCCATCCTCAGCCTGATGGACCGGGGCACCATGGTGCTGACCACCAACTACGACAACCTGCTGGAGATCTTCGGGCAGCAGCAGAACAGGCCCATGGAGTCCCTGGACCTGAAGGACAAGACCAAGGTGCAGGCTGAGGGCCCGGGGCAGGAGTGGGCGGGCGGGAAAAGGCTGGGGGTAGGTGTGAGGTCCGTCTTTGCGAGAGGCCCGTCTTTGCGAGAGGCCCTCAGCTGTCCGCTCCTGTCCACGGCGAGATACGGCCCCACTTGGTCCGGACTGTGCGCCTGTCCCTTCGCAGGCAGCCGAGTGCAGGCCTTCGCCCTCCCTCCCCGGAGCTGCTCGGGGCTGCTCTTGTCTCTGCCTTCTGTCCTGCTGACCTGGGGTTTCTCCTCTGCGTTCATGCATTGATCGTAGGAAGTCGCTAAGGAAAGCAGAAGCATGCAGTCCTAGTGCTATGAACTTTGGTTAATTTGTTTTTAAAAAATGCCACAAGGTGGGATTGCAATATATAGAAGTTATTATCCTGATCCCCTTTCCCCCCCAAATATTTTACTGTGAGCATTTTTCTGTCTTTGGCTTTTTAAATTTTTTAAATTTTTTGCCTCTGAGATCATATTTCTTTGGGGCATTATCTCGCCATGGCTGCTGCTCTATATCCTTGGCTCTGGGGGTTCTGCTCAGCGAGTCTGCAGGTGGCTCTCCAGGCTGACGGTTGTAGAATTTAGTTGTAATTTATATGTGGTCGTGGGAGGAGGCGAGCAGTGTTTATCTACTCTGCCATCCTGACCAGAACTCCATTAAGCTGTTTTTAAAAGCATGACTTTAAAGGACAGTATAATTGTAAAACTAAAGTATAATTGTTGCCTTTCCTCTCTTACTATTAGCATATTTTCACGCTGATAAATAATGCAGCAATGAAAATCCTTATACTTCTATGCCTCTCTGTTTATTTCTTAGCATAAGTCCCTAGAAGAGGTTCAGGGTCAAAGGGTATGACCTTTTTTTGTTAATCCTCACCTGAGGGTATTTTTGATACTGTTTTTCAGAAAGAGTGTAAGGGAGGGAGGAAAGAGGGTGGGGAGAGACAGAGAGAGAAACATCGATATGAGGGGGACCCATCGACTGGTTGCCTCCCCCATGCACCCTGTCCAGGGGGTAGGGAGGGACCTGCCACCCAGGTATGTACCCTTGGTTGGGACTCGAACCCAAGACCCTTGGGTGCACTGCCGCCACTCTAACCACTGAACACGCTGGCCACGGCAGGGTGTGACTCTGTTAAAGATGGTGATATAAATTACTAAATGGTTTTCCATCAAGGCTGCCAGTTTCTAGTCCCACCAGCTCCCTGTGGAGTGTAGGCAGGTCTTGCTTTACTGTGCTTGACACGTTTGCGTTTTTTACCAGTTGAAGGCAGGACCCCCACCAGCAGAAAGAGGACGGCTCGCTTATTGTGGCGCTCGCTTTACTGCGGCGCTGCGGAACCAAACCCACAAAATGTCCGAGGGACGCCTGGTTCCCTTTCTCATGTCTTGCCAATACTAGTTTTACTCAAAAACAAAATCCAGCCGAAACCGGTTTGGCTCAGTGGATAGAGCGTCGGCTTGCGGACTGAGGGTGCCAGGGTTCAACCCCAGCGGGTCCAGGGGTCCCCAAAGGCGTGGACGGAGTCGGCGAAGAAGGAATGACACGGAGACAGTGTTCAGTTGATCAGCAGGCTAGCCAGGATCTCCAGCCAGGATCTCCAGCCAAGTTCTGTGTCCATGTTGTCTTGCTAGGTTCTCCAGCCAGGTTCTCCAGGTTCTCCAGCCAGGTTCTGTAGCCATGTTCCCTCGCTAGGTTCTCCAGCCAGGTTCTGTCCAAGTTCTCCAGCCAGGTTCAGTCACCAGGTTCTAGTCAGGTTCTCTTGCCAATTTCTGTAGTCAGGTTCAGTCCAGGATCTTTTGCCATGTTCTCTCAATCTAAGTTCTGTGTTCTAAGTTCTGTGTTCTAAGTTCTGTCTCTTGCTGTCTTGTTACATCTGTATTTATACCAGTTGATTCAATCCTATCAATCTCTATTACAAAGGTTAGGGCGTTTCCTATCTCCATTCCAGGGAGTAAAGATTAAGTAGCTTAAGCATGATTGTTCGTAGTTAAAGTGGTTAATTACCCGCCTGGCACTTAGTTGAGGGGTTTTATTCCCTCCCTAACTTCAGGGGAAAATCCCTACCTGGGGAAACAACCTTTCTCAGAGAGGTGACCTTGGTTAAAACACATAGTGCCAAGAAGGTGAGCAAACATATTAAGAACAGTATGCCATATATGCCAGGTCCCTTGAAACAGCAAGGATGGACCGGCTCCCGGCATGAGGGGTCCCAGGTTCGATTCCGGTCAAGGGCATGTGCCTGGGTTGCGGGCGCATCCCCAGTGGGAGATGTGCAGGAGGCAGCTGATCGATGTTCCTCTCTCATTGATGTTTCTGACTCTCTATCTCTCTCCCTTCCTCTCTGTAAAAAATCAATAAACTATATTAAAAAAAAAAAATCCAGTACATTTCACCCACAGGACGGGTGAGCATTTGGCTTTTTTTTTTTTTTTTAAATATATTTTATTGATTTTTTTACAGAGAGGAAGGGAGAGAGATAGAGAGTTAGAAACATCGATGAGAGAGAAACATCGATCAGCTGCCTCCTGCACACCCCCCACTGGGGATGTGCCTGCAACCAAGGCACATGCCCTTGACCGGAATCGAACCTGGGACCCTTGAGTCCGCAGGCCGATGCTCTATCCACTGAGCCAAACCGGTCAGGGCAACCTTTGGCATTTTTGTTTTCCTTTTCACTCAGGTGGAATGTAGCTTCATTGAGGGACTTCTCTTCTGGCAGCCGTGTCCTTTGGTGTGTGCTCACAAGGGTGCTAGTCTGACTGGGAGCCAGTATTGCTGCTGTGCTGTCTGGTTCGCTTCATGGGGGACGGCCTGGGCCCCTCCGCACACAGGAAGCTAGAGGTCGCGACTCAGTCAGGCCTGAGTTGGCTGAGAGCGCGGCTTGCACCCGAGAGCTTCGCTTTAGGAGCCTTTCTCCCCAGCTGGGCCGAGACAGCGGCCGGGCACACGGGCCTGGGCACAGGCTGTCCACCCCGCGTGGTGCTGCACAGCTTCCCGGTGCCCTTGCCCCCTCTGGACAGACCACCTGCTGTGCCCCAGCCACCTGGTCCCACCGGGAGGCCTGCTCGCTGTGTAAAGGTGTCTCTGGGATAAATGAGATGGCAGGTAGCGGAGATGTGGCTGCCCATCTGCTTGTTCTGGGTCAGAGCTGTTACTGTCCGTCTGTCTGTCTGGGTTGTCAGCGGCGCCTGCTGCGGAGAAAGCCCCGGCATAAGCGGGAACGTACACGCCCGCGTCTGTGAAGGACCGTTGCGCTGGACGTTGGGCGGACATCACGTAGGGCTCTGCCAGTCGTTTTCCCGTACGCTGCTCTCTGGGTGGGCACGTCAGATGCCCAGCAGCCCCTGAAACGTCCCAGGGAACAAGGAAGCGAGGTCCTCCCGCCCCTGGTCCCTGGTCAGTCCCAGCGGCCACTGTGATCGCAGGCGTGGAGGGTGTTTTCCACCCGTCTCTGCCTCCAGAGCCTTCCTGATGCGATGGGACAGGAGTGACTGCGCCAGCAGCGGAGTTACTCTAGGCCTTAAAGGTATAAGCCAGTGGTCGGCAAACTGCGGCTCACGAGCCACATGCGGCTCTTTGGCGCCTTGAGTGTGGCTCTTCCACAAAATACCATCTTCTACGCATGGGCCACGAAGTTTCAATCGCACTGTACGTTCGTGCCCGCACGTGGTATTTTGTGGAAGAGCCACACTCAAGGGGCCAAAGAGCCGCATGTGGCTCACGAGCCGCAGTTTGCCGACCACTGGTATAGCAGTGCAGACACCTCACTCTTTCCAAGTAGGTGTGAAAGACCACGAATCCAGGTTAGGGGTTTCCCTCACGCCGTTTCCAGTGACGCCAGCATCCTCCCTCTGTCGCTCCGATGTCTGGCAGGTCCTCCAGTGGGCACGAGGGCACATCAAGTACGGAGTGCTCCACATCCACGGCCTCTACACGGACCCCTGTGGGATGGTCCTGGACCCCTCGGGATACAAGGACGTCACGCAAGACCCGGAAGTGATGGTACGGCCCTTGGGACTCTGTTGGCAGCCGCCTGGCTTCCAGACTCCAGGCAGTCCTGCCCTTCGGGACCTCAGGGCTGCGGGGACGGGCCTGCCTCCCGCCCTGTGCGGTCCGGGGCCCGGGCCTGCCATGCGCACAGGTGCTCAGAGGACGCTTGGCGAGGGCTCCTTACAGCAGGTCCATCCTGACTCCGCCCCCAGCTGTCCTGCGCCGGCTCAGGGACGCAGTTGAATTTCTTCCGATTGATGTGCAGACCCGCAGGGTCTGTGATGCTATTCTGTGGCCACTGCTCTCTCTGTCCATCTGCTCCTCCCTCCCTCCCTCCCTCCCTTTCTTCCTTTCATTTAAATATTTTTTTTTTTATTTCGGAGAGGAAGGGAGAGGGAGAGATAGAAACATCAATGAGAGAGAAGCATTGATCGGCTGCCTCCTACACATCCCACACTGGGATCGGGCCCCACTGCAGGCCCGAGTGACTCCACGCAGTCTTTCTTTCCCTGTGCCCACTCCCCTGGGTTGCTGTCACTGGTCCCTCCTCAGCATTGCTGCCCTCACTCCCCAACCCTATTCTCCTGACGCCAGCCTCCTGCCCCCCCAAAGTTTCTGTCTGTGATCCACTGAGACGCGTTAATTCCAGGGTGTGGCATGTGCAGTTCTGAATGGCACATTTCCATTTCATGTCCTTATTTTGTGTTTTAAAATTGTACACGATTTTAGAAAATTTGCATTGAGTGGGCACTCAGCTCAGAATCGGTGGGCAGGGTGGGCTGCAGGCTGTGCTGACTTCGGTTCGTGTAACCTGGACGTTGCCTGGGGCCTGGAGACAGGGCTGCCTCTGCCCGTTCCTCAATGGCCCTGGGGAAGGCTGCCCGGAGCGGATGACTTAGAAGCGCAGTTGTGGGCCGGGTCCTGCTGAGCGCCAGCCGTGCGGCTCACACCCCATTGTCTCCCAGGAGGTGTTCCAGAGCCTGTACCGCACCAGGTCCTTCCTGTTCGTGGGCTGCGGGGAGACCCTGCGCGACCAGATCTTCCAGGCGCTCTTCCTGTACTCGGTGCCCAACAAGGTGGACCTGGAGCACTACATGGTGGTGCTCAAGGAGAGCGAGGACCACTTCTTCAAGCACCAGGCCGACATGCTGCTGCACGGCATCAAGGTCGTGTCCTACGGGGCCTGCTTCGACCACTTCCCGGGGTACGTGCAGGACCTGGCCACGCAGATCTGCCGGCAGCGGAGCCCAGGTACGCAGCCCTCACTCTCCACGTAAAGCCACAGGCCTGCCGGCGTTTCCTTTTTTTTTAGAGATAATCCACACACCACAAAATAAAACGGAGATGTTTTTTGAGCTCTTATTTTACACACCATTAAATTCACCAGCTCTTAGTTATTTCCCCAAACTGTCCCCGTGTGCTTCAATCATGGAGGACCGGGTGACAGCGCAGTCTGCGGGGCCGACAGCTGTGCGTGGAGCCGCACACATCGGCTCAGGTGCAGAGGCCACGCTTCAAGGAGCTGCCCGGGACGGAAAGCACGTCCGGCCGATGCTGCACGCCTGTCCTTCACAGAACAGCGGGCAGAGGGCGCCCAGGACGACGGCTTCATTCAGATCCTGCCTTTCCGAGCTCGTTAACTGCCTCTCCTTGGCCCTTCTCCTGGGAGGTGCTCACCTGCCGGGAGTGACCGAGGTTGCAGAGCGACTCCTACCTCGGTCAGCTCGACACAGGGCAGCTGCCGGCTTGGAGTCTTATAAATCATGGATGACGCGACTGGAAGAGCCTGTATAGGCTGTCCTTGAAGAGTAACAGGAAACGCAGGCCCCCACACGGCCTTGGGCGCAGCACGGGGACGGTGGCAGATGGGACCAGCAGTGAGGACTAGAGTCACCGAGACCATGGCGCCCTCCAGCACCTGAGTTTCCCCACCAGCCCTTTCTGTAAATAGCAAAGTGGGCCGCTTGGAAGAGCCGGTTTCTTACCGAGGAGCAGGGAGCTGCGCTGTGGCCCGTGGCTGTGAAGGTCACATTTGTGACCCTATTCCTGTTTACGCACGGTCCCCAGTGCGGCCAGCAGCTGATTATAGGTGTGGGCTGAGCTCAGAAGTGAAGGATGTGCCTGGCTGGGGCTCAGGTGCTTTGAAGCTGGAATGGGGTCCTGGATCAGCAGGGGAACCGTCCCCCTCCCGTGTCCCTGAGCAGGGCTCTGATGGCTCTGGAGAGAGATGGCCTTCTCGCCACCTCTGCCCGACCGCCACCTCTCGCCTCCGCACGCACAGGCCCCGGGCCCCGGGCACCAGGACCTGATGTGAGCCTGCATGCGCTTGGCTCCCGGAGCGCTGGGGGCCTTGCAATCTGTGCCTCAGGGACATCTGTACTTGGTTTGTGAGGTGCCTCTCCTGGCTGGGGAGGGTGGCACACGGTGAGGACAGAAACGGTGACCACGGTGCCATCCCTGCCCCCTGCAGCGCCGGGGCTTCATGTGTGGCCCCTGCGAGGTGGAGAGCAAGGACCCTAACCAGCCTGGGGCTGACGGTGGCCACGCTGGGCAGCAGCCTCACCACCCCTGCAGCTGGAGGGGCGCACGTGCCTCCGTCTCTGACCGTTTTCCTTTCTTCCAGATGCCGACAGAGTGGACAGCACCACGCTGGGTAAGGCGCATCTTGGTTTTGCCGACACGTTCCATTGCCTTCCTGCTGCTATTTGTAAATCATAGACACGTCCTCACGTTAAACACCGGCCTGAGAGGACACAGTAGTGCCGGGACAGGCCTGCCACCGGGAAGGGGCGACAGCGCCCCCCTCCGCCGGGAGCACAGTGTAGTGGAACACGGCCCAAGGACACTCCTGTCCCCCAGCCTGGCTTGGCATCAGCTGAGGGGTGGTCATGGCCCGTCCCCTTCAGAAGTTTAACTGCAAAGGTTCTAAGCTTTAGGAAATGTTCTATTTAACATGTGTTTGAAATGCAAATGCTTTTTCTACTGCTCCACTCTGCCTGCCTCTGTCTATACACGAGGCTGCCCGCGGCCTCCTGGGGTGAGTGTGGCTCTGGCCTGCACGCTGGGCAGTTTGTGGGTCAGAAGAGGCTCAGCTGGGAGCGGGGCCTCCATGTGCAGCCCCCGCCTCCCTACTGCTGGGCTCAGTGGCCCAGACACGGATCTTCCGAGCGGTGGGCTCAGTTCAGGAAGAAAGCGGTTCGGGATCACAGCAGCTCAGGAATGACAGAGGGACGTCTGTGTGCTCGGCTTCCCGTTCCCCTGCGTCTGCAGGACACGGCTGTGTTGCTGTCTCCCTTCCACGGCCTCCAGGGCCGCCTCCTGAACCCTTGGCTGAGCGGGTGTGGCCTCCGTGGAGGGCGTGGAGCAGCAGCTTTCTAACGAGCGTCTCCTCTCTCCTCGCAGGGAGTGGGTGCCAGGACTGCGCCAAGAGGAAGCTGGAGGAGAACGGAATTGAAGCTTCTAAGCAGCTCCGGCCCTCAGGTACCCAGGCTTCCTGTGGGCCCCAGGGGGCCTGCCTGTGGGTGGGGCCGGCGCTGCCGCTCACTGCCCTTGTCCGGGAGGAGGGAAGAGAGATGCCTGTCACTCCAACTGCCCGAGGGACCCACTCCAGACACTTCTGTTCATTTACATTAACGTGTTGCTGAAAAAAATACGTAGAGAACATGTGAGGTCAGCAGTGAATTTTCACAAGGTGAATACACCCACGTATCCCATCCGGTTCCAGACGCAGAGCAGTGTTGGGGAACCCCCCACCCCCCACTTTTCAGTCACCCCACCACCACCCAAGGGTGACTGCTGTCTTAGGCGCCCAGGTTTCCTGTTGAAGAGGGTCTGGTGCAGGGGTGGGCAAACTTTTTGACTCGAGGGCCACAATGGGTTCTTAAACTGGACCGGAGGGCCGGAACAAAAGCATGGATGGAGTGTTTGTGTGAACTAATATAAATTCAAAGTAAACATCATTACATAAAAGGGTACGGTCTTTTTTTTTTTTAGTTTTATTCATTTCAAACGGGCCGATCCGGCCCGCGGGCCGTAGTTTGCCCACGGCTGGTCTGGTGCAACCCCGTTCCCAATGCTCTGTGGGCAGCCTGTCTGGGCACTTGGTGTTGAATTCCATGAGGGTGTTTTTCTGGATTCTTATGTATGCCGTGCTCCATTTCCCCGTCTCTTCATTCTGGAACAATCTGTGGCTTCCTTGGTTATGCCCGTCTTCTTCCCCCTCTTGGATTCACACTGCTGTCCACTGCTGATTTCTTTCTTTCTTTTTTTTTTTTTTAATTAAATCTTTATTGTTCAGATTATTACATTTGTTCCTCTTTTTTCCCCCATAACTCCCCTCCTCCCAGTTCCCACCCCACCCTCCACCCTCACTCCCCACCCACTGTCCTCATCCATAGGTGCATGATTTTTGTCCAGTCTCTTCCCGCATCCCCCACACCCCTTTCCCCCCCAAGAATAGTCAGTCGATTCCCTTTCTATGTCCCTGATTCTATTATAATCCCCAGTTCATTCTGTTTATCAGATTATTTAGTCACTTGATTTTTAGATTCACTTGTTGATAGATGTGTATTTGTTGTTCATAATTTGTATCTTTACCTTTTTTTCTTCTTCCTCTTCTTAAAGGATACCTTTCAGCATTTCATATAATCCTGGTTTGGTGGTGATGAACTCCTTTAGCTTTTCCTTATCTGTGAAGCTCTTTATCTGACCTTCTATTCTGAATGATAGCTTTGCTGGATAAAGTAATCTTGGTTGCAGGTTCTTGCTATTCATCACTTTGAATATTTCTTGCCATTCCCTTCTGGCCTGCAAAGTTTCTGTTGAGAAATCAGCTGACAGTCGTATGGGTACTCCCTTGTAGGTAACTGAGTTTCTTTCTCTTACTGCTTTTAAGATTCTCTCTTTGTCTTTTGCTCTTGGCATTTTAATTATGATGTGTCTTGGTGTGGTCCTCTTTGGGTTCCTTTTGTTTGGGGTTCTCTGCGCTTCCTGGACTTGTAAGTCTATTTCTTTCACCAGGTGGGGGAAGTTTTCTGTCATTATTTCTTCAAATAAGTTTTCAATATCTTGCTCTCTCTCTTCTTCTGGCACCCCTATAATTCGGATGTTGGTACACTTGAAGTTGTCCCAGAGGCTCCTTACACTATCTTCGTATTTTCGGATTCTTTTTCATTTTGCTTTTCCGGTTGGGTGTTTTTTGCTTCTTCGCATTTCAAATCTTTGACTTGATTCTTGCGCTCCTCTGGTCTGCTGTTGGGAGTCTGTATAATATTCTTTATTTCTGTCAGTGTATGCTTAATTTCTAGTTGGTCCTTTATCACAACCTCAAGGGTCTCACTAGATTTCTTGAGGATCTCACTACATTTATCGGCGGTTTCTAGAAAGTTCTTGAAAAACCTTAAAAGTGTGGTTTTGAACTCTATATCTAGTAGTTTGCTTTCCTCCATTTCTGTCATTTGTGTCCTGTTTCTTTGTCTCCACATTTTTTATGCTTCCCTGTGTTGATAAAGTGGCTTTGTGTGCTAAGTGTCCTCTAGGGCCCGCTGGCTCAGCCTCCCCAATTACCTGAGGTGGACACTCTTGGTGCACCCCTTTGTGGGCTTTGTGCACAGTCTTGTAGTTAAGCCTTGACTGTTGTAGGTAATACTGGGAGGATTTGACCTCCAGGCCAATTGGCTGTGAGAATCAGCTGTGTCTAAGGTGGGAGAACTTCTGTGCTGAAGACACCCTTCTGGGGCAAGACTTGCTTCAGTGGGGCTTTGATGCTCACTGAGTCTGCCCCCTGAGTGTGTCCCTTATGGATCTGCGGAGATATAATTGGATGGCCCCACTCTGACCACTGGGAACACTGGCTCTTGGATCTAAGGAGGTACTGATCTAGCCTCTGCCTGAGGCTACACAGCAGAAGCCAGCTGTAAAGCAATGCAAGTTGCCCTGGGGCCTTGGGCAGCTGCAGTTTGTTAAGTAATTTTCAGATTACAAAGGGCCGGGCCTTTCATATGCAAAAGCCTTCATGCATGTGCACGGCTTGGGCAGGGCGGAGCCCCAGGGGATCAACTGGGAGGGTGGAGTGAGCAGTATGGCTGCTCTCAGTCCTGTCCTCAGAGGCCCCGGCAATCGCTGTGTGTGCCTCTGAGAGAAAGCTGCCCTGGAGTTCTGACCGATGCCAGACAGTCCCGTTTCTCCCGTATGAGTCTGGGTCCCCAGAGACTTGCCTGGAACTGGAGCTCAGAGCCTGAGACTCCCTCCCGATTGAAAAAGACAACCGTGACCTCAGCCGCCAGCCTTCTCCGCATGCACCTCTGCACCTTTGTATTTCACTTCCGCACCACACCTCCTCTGAGTCTCGGTGTGCTTTTCTCTTTCCTTCTAGTTGTAGAATTTCCACTCAGCCAGCCTTCCTGTGGTTCTGGATGTTGTCCATTCCGTCTTTTAGTTGTATTTTTGAAGTGGTTGTGCGAACCAGCAATCTCCGGTGTTTACCTATGCCGCCATCTTGGTTCTCTCCCACTGCTGATTTCTACTGTCCACTCCTGTAACGTCTTCGTTTTCATTTTCTGTCTCCATTTTTTTAAAATCTTTCTGCGAGATTTCCACAGTTACCTTCTAGCCTCTGGGTTCAGTGATTCTGACAGCGTGGTGGCTAGTTTCCAGGTGCTCTTGTGTTCTGAGTTGTTCTGCCTCAGCATCTGTTATTTAGGACTGTGATACCATCTCAGGTCTCTAAGAAAACAGAGGCTTCCCTCGGTACCTGACTCGCTCCATCTCTGAAAACCCCATTGGTGGGGAGGGTTTTCAGGTAACAGTTTATTTCTTATTACTTTATAAGGAATTTCAGTAAAACACTCTAAACACCACACAGTAACCCACAGGAACTTCTGGAGCTCCACAGCATGTGCCCTGTCAGTTGCCTATTTATTTCACATTTAAACTCCCCCCTGGGTATGTTTGAGCCACACTGCGACACTGCATTTCCTTCTACAACACAGGGACCACGTACTGTTGAATAGTCTGTTGTAGATGTAAAGGCTCATAATGATGCAAATGACACTCAACCAGAGGAAGTCAACAAGCACGGCAGTTGTTGACATTGGCTGCTTGCAGGGTAGGTGGTGGCCCAAGGTAGGACTGGTGGCTGGAGAGTGGACGGTCTTCTGTCCCTCGGGGGGTGGAGGAGAGCGGGCGCTGGGGACCTCGTGGAGGACAGTAGCAGCTCCCATGGCCTCTCCTCGATTTGGTACACATTCAGGGCACTTAGTAGAAAGTCACTGTGCGGCCGCTAGAGGGAGCGTTCCTCCGTGATAGCGTTTTAGATAAATTCTTTGTGGTCTTATGGGTTGTGAATTCAGCTCGTGGAGACTGAATAAAATCAAACAAGACTAGTGTCTTCGAGTTGTGTCCTTGTGGCCAGTGTTCCTTTCCTGCGGCGTCTTCAGGGCCGCAGATGTGTGAGAGGCCGGCCCAGAGGTGGTCTCGCCGGACCGTGGGTTTCTGCTGCTGCTGTGAACACACAGCCTTTCTCGCGTGGGGGGCACTCGGAGCGGGGTGCTGCAGGCGGCAGGCTTTCTGCTGGTGGACAGGGTGTGAGCCGGCAGCGTCCACAGCCTGCTTCTCCCAGCAGCTTCTCCCTGGCAGGCCTTGGTCTCTTTCTTGCGGGAAGCTGGCCTGTCCTGCGTGCGGGTGAGTCCCAGGTTCATCTTCGCGCTGCGGGCCATCCTGCGCAGGCGGGAGAGCTGAGGGGGAGCTGTGGGCTCCCCTTGCCACAGCCGCCTCCGTCTGCACTTGACCAGGCGCCATCACATGTGCTGACACCGCCTCTGCCCCTGCGAAGGGAGGAGCACCCACGTTCACAGGCGGTTTCCACGGCTCTTACAAAGCCCAGTGCCCCGGGTGGCGCTTCCAGCACAAAGCCATTTCTGGACAGTGGCTACTGCTCCCAGCATGGAGGCGTTTTCTGAGTCTTCAGCACATGAGAAAAACAAAGTTTTCTGGACTAGAAATCCTATGGCAAATACTTTTTCGAGCTGAACCTCACATCTTGTATTCCTTTCTTTCTGTTTAAACAGATGATGCTGGCGCATCTTGAAATCTTTAAAACCGACAAACCTGCAACTTGAAAACCAGCCTTCTGTGACCACAGTGCCGTAGCGGACGATGAGGAATGTTCGAGGACTCGCACGGACCTCTCACTTCTAACCGTCATGTACCCCCCGAGAGCCCTGTGGGGTGTGGCCGTGGAGTAGGGGGGACAGTCCCACTGTGTGTCTAACTGCTCGGGGTGAAGTGCACACCTCAGGTATCCTCCGTGAGGACTGGCGGACAACTACCTCAGGGCCCGACGGTGGGAAGGGAGGGGCCTGGTGCTCCAGGCTCCCCGACACGCCCGTGGTCAGGTGGGCTTCCTAATAAAGGGGACAGTGGAGACTACAAGCAACAGTAGTTGCCAAAGAGAAAAGAAACTAGACTCTTAAATTTTATAATTTTTATGCGGAAACATGTTACCATAGAAAAAACTCTTAAGGTATGTTTGTTACGTTAAGTAAAGAATGTTCGAGGTGTTGAATCTGCCAGTGAGAGTGATACGTCTTTTAAAAGAATGTCTGATCAGTAGGGCTTCCTTGGAATGCCGTAATTGTAACTTAGTTCCAAAGAACGGCTGGTCCGTCCCTGAGGCGTTAGAGCATCCTCACGAAGAACCAGAGGCCTCTTCTTTTTCACCGAGAGGGAGGGAGGCAGGGAGAAGCATCGATCGGTTGCCTTCCGTTAGTACGTTTAATAGGGATTAACCCTCAACCTTCTGCACAGGATGGTGCTCTAACCCACTGAGCCGCTGGCGAGGGCAAAGGGCCTTTCCAGTGGTGCAGTGCAGGGCGGTGCAAGTCCGCCTTGAGGCTGATAACTGAGAAGTTACAAGTGGAGCAGAGCAGGTTTTAAACTTGCAGTTAGAGTATCAATCCCAAGCTTTCCAAGTCTCTCACCTCCCAGCGTTCTCTGCCATGGCACGTGACGGGGCAGTGTGAGGCAGGCAGGCCTGGGGAAGGGGCTGCCGCACCCGTGTCTTGCTTCCCCGCTGGCAGGTGCTCAGCTGCCGGCAGTGCTGGGGCAGAGGGTGTGGTGGGCGGTTGCTCTGTGACTGTGGCAAAGGCCCTGCTCAGTCTGCTTTAGAGGCTGCCTACTTTCATGTGACACTTCTTGCCAAGCACGACGACACTCCCCACTGATGGCGCCGGAACTCCCACAGGCACAAAGAACTAGAAACGTTAGGTTGGGATGTGTAGGTAGAGATGAGCTGGACCTGCTAAGACCTTTGTCTGCTTTCAAAAGCATGAAAAACAAACCCTTTATGCTACTCTGGTCATAAAACTGTCACTTCAACTCTGTGCTCAACTTTTCTCCAGTTATGACAAGGCTTGTTTTAATTTATTCAGTGAGGATTTTTACCATGAGTTGCCACTCAACTGTGAAATCAAGTGATTACTTGAATGTGTTTAGTGTTTGAAAAGCAAACATTAGACATTGTTTTTTTAAAGACTCACAAAGTGCGATCAGGGATGGATGTGTCTGAAGGTTGGGCAGACATGGGAGAGTGACGTGGAAGGAGGGAAGCCTGGAAAAGTGAGGCAGGGCCCCGCTCACGACCAGCTCCAAGTGCCACTCTGAGTGCCATGCCGGGGCGGTCTTGCCGTGAGGAGTGAGCCTGTCTGTAGTCAGTTCTGCCGTAACCCTTGTGTAAAATGCAGACTTAAAGCAGCATGACTGATGAATGAGGAACAATTTGCGCACACCTGCTTTGCGTATGTAAGGCTCTGTCCGTGGGAAACTAGGTCAACTACCCTTCCACCACTGGACCCGACGTTGCCCACTACACAAGCCGACTTCTGGGCATTTTCAAGATAAAGTGCCATGTGTGCTATAATATTTGTGTGGTTCTTAACCATGTAATATGTGTAAACTAGCTGTTATCTGTTTCCTATTTTGTTTTTGGAGTGTGGTGTTCCAACCCGTGTCTTGTTGTGTGGTGGTTTGCATAGAAGCTGGTTTCAGGAACGCGAGGATGCTGCCTGAGGACCTGCCGCCTGAGTCCAAGTTATGAGAACGGGCAGCCCAGGAAGAGGAAGGGGCCACAGCTCTGATGGCACTGAAGGGACATGACAGTGTTAAACTGATGTCTTTCAAGGCAGGAAAGTCGGAGATTGAGGTGCTATTGCCGGCACTGAAACAAGGAACACAGGGAGACTGAGTGGTCTCTGTTCTCCAGTTCACAGAGGAGCAGGGAGCAAGGCTGTGACTGCACGTCTGGCACAGTGCATCCTGTTTATATGCGACGTGAGTGTAGTTTGAAAGTGAGTCCGCTACTTCAGGAGCTACTCCTTGGTGGCACCTGGGCCCACGCAGTCTCCACTAGACCAGTAGCACCTCCGAATGTTCCATTCCGTCCTGAGATGGAAGTAAAGTCCTGCTGACTGTCTTTCCCACCTGGAACAATGCACTGAAATGGCAAAGTCAGTTGTTACTTGGAAAGTCTGTTCATTTCCTTCTGAACAGAAATTACATTTAGAAAATGCAGATTGCGTTGAAGTGGACATAATTCAGTTTCACCTTAAAATTTTTGTTTATAAAACTGTAATTTGGAAACATTTGAAATTAGAGTATTTTTATTGATATTTTCATACATCAGTTCCTCTGAAATAATTTCTCAAAACCCAGGTTAACACCCTATAACTAGGATATTCAGAAACCAAGACTATCCTTTAAACGTTCCTTAAATGGACAAGGCAAGACCAGAGTGAAGAGGATGTAGAATTCAAAATTTTTCTGGCTGGGCTTCAAAATGGAACTTGAAACTATGGTAACAAAATTGTACCTTTTTTTTTTTTTTTTTTTTTAAATCGTTCAAAGCTAACTCTTCCAGGAAACTTTCCCTACGGGAGCGGGGCCTAAACACTCCTAACGGAAGTGAGCAGCAGCTTCTTTGCTGGTAACGGTTCAGCTTTCTCAGACGGCACACAGGCTTGCTGCCTCCAGAAGTTGGTGACTCAACAGTTTGAACGCTAGAGTGAGAACTGAACAGTGATGACCTGACCACAGCTAACTCATCCGCTCTGAGAGCCGGCAGCTGCGCCGGGGCACTCGGACCCTAGCGGGACTCTCGCTGTCTCCTGCTGCCTTCTTCGCCTTCAGTGTCTGGATACTGAGAAAGATCTAAAGTCAGAACTCGGCTGAACATGTAGTCATCGTGCTGAAATGAAGAGCAGACAGCTAAGTTAGTCCTTCCACGAAGGAAAAGGTGCTATTAAGCCTAAAACAAGAGCCAGTAGTGAATTTGGACTTGCATTTGAAAGGAAACATATGGTATGGCCACCTCAGAAGGTATCAATGGCATTGCATCAGCTTTATTAGCTCATTTCTGTATTACCTGGACAGGGTATCAGGATGTGCCACGCCAAAATATGGCTCTGGCATGTGGACTGTTGGAGCTACTGAGATGCAGGGAAAGCTCTAACACTGGCCACAAGTCCTGCTTTTCTAAATTCACACCTTCCCTACTCTAACGACTGCTGTCAACGAAAGGCACCTATGTGATCTGCAGAGCAAACGTGGCTTGGCCACCATGCTTTCCTGGTCGCCTTCCACCTCTGCTCCCCCTCCCCCTGCTCCTTTCCTCACTTCGGCCTGAGACTGGAGAGGAGCCCACGTTCTAGCCACCCCTTTGGGTTACTCGGCCATGATGCTCCCGCTTGCTTGTCTGTCTTGCCAGTCTGATTGACAGGCCCAGCCAGAGCCGCTAAGGTGGGCAGACTGTTTCGATTGTTTTCCTCCCTTACCCCGTGTGAGAATTTTCACTTCTCTACTGCAGCACATCTCCAGTGGGCCCCCAACAATTTGTAGGCACAGGAAGCGAAATTTTTATCTTAGCATCTCATTGTCCAAAAATGGAACGATCAGAAATCCTCCATTACCTCGAGTATTTTGAATAGCTTAAGAAAGATTTGTTCACTTCTAAAAGTTACTATACAACTTGGAACTTTCAGTCAATTTCTTTGCTTTTCCCTCTGGTATTTTTGGAAGATAAATGGTTCCTTATTAGTTCTACCACAATACATTTGCTTTTGCCTAAAACATTCAAACATTACAGAAATAGGAATACAGTATTACAGCTTACTTTGTGTAAATATGCTGTTATTTTATAAAGAAAATTCTGTAATTTTCAATTTGTCTTTTCAGATCTTAAATCTTTGTACTGTCACAGAAAAATACCTGAATAGTTACTTTTAATCTTATTTAATTAAAAAATAATGTAAGCCTGTAGTTATCACTGCAGAAACCCAGCAGTATCTCCAGTCTCCAGGAGGAAAGGACGGGAAGGGTGCTCATCTTTACCTCTGGGTAGATGCCGATCAGGGCGTCAGCCTTGGCATAGAACTCCTCCTTGAGGGAGATGATTATCATCTGAAACTGTTCTTGAGTCTGCTCTTTGATGTAACTTGCTACCTGGTAGGAAGGAAAAAGCACACATTTCACCAGCAAGGAAGGCCTCGTTTCTGGGCCCGGGGCCAGTGATCCTGCAGGTCTGTTTGCCCGTTTAGGTGACAGGAACTTACTTGCCTCCCTGGTAATTTGGTAAACCCACTCCAACCACAGAAATAGCTCAGAGTCTAAAATAAGAGGTTAGGAAAGATATCTCTAAATCTATGATCTAAAACTTTAAGAATATTTTTAAGGATAAAACTCTGCCTTATCTACAATATGGTATAAAGCAAGCCTTTATTAACAGTATAAGAACTACCACTCAGATAGTTTATGAGGGTGAAGAAGGACTGGTATTTTAACTTCCAACTTCCTATTTTGCCAACTCAAAGCCTGAAAGAGGGATCCATGGCAATGACGTATTCATGACTCAGTCATGTGGGGAGAGGTGGTTTCTTCCGGAAGGTCAGTTCCCAGGACCGAGCAGAACAGGATAGTCTGCACAGAAATGGGTCTTAGTGAGCACCTGCTCAGAGCCTGGAGGGTGGTGACCTAGGACCCAAGCCACAGCTCACTGAGACGCTTCCAGCTCCCGCTCTCCCTGCCTAGGGGGGGCTTCTCCGTGTGCCCTGGTCCTGGCTGCACCCGAGATGCTAAGGACGATACTAAGGACGCAGCACCGGAGGCAGGAATGGCGAGCTTCAGGGAGGAGTGAGTCATTAGGGAGCTGAACCCTGAGGAGGGAAACTGCTTTTGACTCAGAGAAGGAACTCCAACTTGAGGGGCACAGTAGTCATCCGATGCAGGACTGAGTCCCAGGATACTGACTGGATAGAAGAGGAGGGAGGATGCAAAGACGCAGGGCGTGCGTTTTGCCTGCAAAGTTGCCTGGGTAAGGGTTGGGCAACCTGATCACAAGCAGCGGTGGAGCTGCTGCTTAGCTGTTCATACTACAAAACTGCCCCGAGTGCGCAGTGGGGTGCCAGGAGCGCACACCCCTAAGGGAAACTGGGAGCAAAGAGGCTTTTAATACACAGGGTAGGTGATGACAGGTCTTATGTTAGACCTAGTACCTGGGGATACCATGAGTACGTCTGAATTTTGCAAGAAGATACGGACATCCTAAATGCCACTGAGAAGATGCAGCCTACCAAAATAAGATGTCCCCTCACCCCCTGTAACAGAAGAGGGGATACAAAGTGCCCAAATGCCTTAAAGGGGCGATTTCTCCCAAATGAGTCAGGCCTGGACTCCAGGTAGCTGATGCGGACTGGTTGGCATTCGAGGTGTTCTGTGTTCCTAGCATTCTCTCCGACAGTCTGGCAGGGCACAGCATGTGGCTCTTGCCTGTCTGCCACAAGGTCCAGGGACCAGTGTATGGGTCTGAAGTTGTGCTGTTCTATGTCCACTGTGACATGTCCAGAGAGCAGGCTCCCAGAGAGGTGGGTTAGACGAGTGCCCCTTGGGAATGCTGAGAGGCAGCCTTCATGCCACTCGAAGGTGCCTCAGACTGTAGCTCCTGGAAGCCCTAACTCCCAAGCCTTCCAGACTTGGAAGAGAAGTCGGGGAGGTCAGCTTCAGAGACTCAGAACCTGAGTGGCACCCCAAGATCAGATGCATCTCTCAAAGGGGGACTCTCTAACCAAGCTCACAGGACTAAGGTGTAAACCAATTTACAAATGAATAATGAGAAACACATCGGTCGGCAGGACCAGGGCAGCCTCCTGGTCCATCAGCAGCTGTAAATGCAAAGCCCAGCCGCTTCTGGAGGAAGGACGCGCCTGGAAGGAGAAGCAGGAGTCTCGTCATCTATCAGAAGTGGGTTTTCTCTGCAGGAAGGAGTCTGCGGGCCAGAGGGACCCCTCCCCTGGGGAGTGATGGGTCCTGCCAGTATTTGCCTCTGTCCTGCGTCCATGCGTCCATGGTTGAACCACTCTCATGTCAAGAAGTGCGGCCTGAGAGCCCCCCAGGTGGCTGTGTCCGCACTGATCCTCAAGGCTGGCCTCAGACCGGACTCTCAAGAGCTAGCTGTTTCCTTAGCTCCCTCGTCGTCTTAAATGCTGAAAACACGGTCCTGCACAGGCGCAGCCGCTGGATAAACGTTCATAAATATAAGGGGGGACAGTTTTGAACTTCAATTCTGAAATTTTAGTTAGAGATGTTAGTTTTGGACTTTATTAAACTGATTTGGTCCTGTTTGCCCCGGGACCTATTAGTGACTCTAAGGTCCCAACCTCTAGGTCAGGAGAGGCCTGCACTGCAATCTTCCCCCAACTCCATGCAGATTCCCCAACTGTGAGGCTCCCCTACATCTTGAACGGAACTTCCCTGAACCATGTTGCTTGTAGATACTGAATTTAAATTTGATTTTTAACCAACAGTTATCAAACAATTTTTGCTCAGGGTACACTGAATTCCAGGTGTCCTGTTGGAAATTAAGTGCAGAAAGAAACTTACTTTGCCGATGTTTGTATTGTCCAGGGCTGCATCCACTTCATCCAGAACAAAGAATGGAGCAGGCCGGAAACTGGAAGAAATGAGAGGTTACCGCTTCCCATTTGTTTTACAAAGACTCAGAGGAGAGGATTAACCAGATGCAGATACATCCTCTTGGATGCTGGTGTCTAGGTCACCAATGAGCTGAACATGGCTAAATCCAATGATCAATTCTCAGTCTGTGTTCCAAGGGTCCTTTGTAGGTAGTACCTGGGGTGGTGCTCCCGCCTGTTCCTCTGATGTCAAGGGTGACAGGGTCTCTCCCTCCCCCCTCCCCCTTTACTCACTGCTCCCTCCCAGTCTGGCCTGCGAACTCCTAGTCTCTCTATTGAACACTGCTGGTGCCGGTGCCCAGGGGGCTCAATGCTCAGAGTGCTCCTCTATCTAATTAGCTCCCTGGGTGGTTTCACCTGATCCCAAGGTTGTAAGTGACTCCACGTGTGGATGGCTTCCACACTTCTGAGAGTTCTAATCTCCTGAACCAGTGGTTCTCAACCTTGGCTGCACATTAGAGTCACCTGGGAATCTTTTTAAAATCCTGATTTCTGGGCCTCATCCTCCAGAAATTCTGTGTCTTTGTTATGGGGTGAGGCCACAACATTAGTAACAAAGAAACAATTTCCGGAGGACGAGGCCCAGAAATCAGGATTTTAAAAAGATTCCCAGGTGACTCTAATGTGCAGCCAAGGCTGAGAACCACGAACTCTCACTGCACACATTTAACAGCTTCCTCAGCGATTCCACACGGGTGTCTGATAAACAGCTCAAACTCATCCAAAATCAAACGCCTCACCTGCCTGTCCAAACCGAATCCCTTCCGTGGTGTCCCTGTCCTCAGTTAATGGCAGCTGTTTCACTCCAGCTGATTAGGCCAGAACCCTTGGAGCCATCCTGACTCCTCCATGCCCCATGCTTGTCTCTGATGACCCTTCTGCTCTCACCCTGGTCCAACACTAGTTCCCTAAAGGTTAGGGACTTAACCCATGCCTGACACTGCTGCACAGTCTCTTCTCCACCGAGGCCAGGCTCACTCTGGCCGTACAGGGCCTTTGCACTTGCTGATCGTTATGTCTACATTCTTGCTCCCCTAATTCCTTTGTATCTTTGCGCAATTGTTACCTTCTCAAAGAGGCCTTCCCGGATGACTCTCTTTAATATTGCAAACCCTTCCCTACTACTATCTCCATTCCTTGCTTTAATTTTTCTCCCTATAGCATTTGCTATTTGTCATAGTCTCACATTAGAGAATTCATTTGTTAATACACCTTATTTATCAACTGTCTTCCCGCCTAGAATGAAGTTATCTTTGAGATGGATTTTGCTTTGTTCTCTGCTCTCTCTCCAATGCCTAACCACCACCTGGCACAGTAAATATATGCTTATCTGTTGAATAAGTGGGGGTGGTGGGGGTGATATCTAGAAATCATCTTATTCTGGCAAGATTTACTCAACACAAGCTCCCAGTTAGACCCTGATCGGCTTTCCCTAAGCCCCCTGCACTAATGGCATTTCTTTCCTGTAATGGCCTATTCCTCTTCCTTCTTGAGATCAATAAAAACCAGCTGCAGAACTTCCATGCTATTCTTCTTGACATGAGATAGAGGCAGCATCGTCTCCTGAGATCTTCGCCTAGTGCTCTGGATGCTGAAAGTTAATTGCCTTCATGTTGGCTAACTTTTCCTTTATTGATTTTATGAACAATGCCACCATCAGTGGAAATGAGAGGTGAAACATTTTTTTCAGAAGAAACACTTTGCTTAACATTCTTTACTAAACAGATCTCCAAATGTGGACCAGGAAAATAATATACAAGTTGTGTGCTTTTGTTTGATTGGGGTTTGTTATTGTTTCTTTTAATTCTGATGTCACATCTGGCTATTCCAAATATTTATTTTTCTTCCTCCTTTCTATAAATCTAAAATATCAGTAGCTACTGATAATAGAAATTTAATAAAAATCTGTTAAAGACTGAATTTTCTCTTAGATTATCTGTCTAAATTGTTATAGACGTAAAATATCACCTGAATTGTCTGGCTGGAGAAAACAGTTTTGTATTCACATACTGCTAAACACAACTAAAGACAAGCAATTAACAGGATTCTGTAGGACAAGCATGTCAAACTCAAAGGCTAACATGAGCCAAAGAAACGAGGCCTGCGGCGCGACATGCCTGCTGTAGGAGGTCCATTTGGTTTCTGTGCTGATACAAAAGCCCCACAGCTCACGGTGACCTCACCTGTGCACAGCGAACAGGAGCGCCAGAGCTGCCACACATTTTTCTCCCCCTGACAAGTTGTCCATCGGCATGAACCGTTTGCCGGGGGCCACACAGTTATAGCCGATTCCCTCCAAGTAAGGCTCTTCTGGGTTCTCGGGGCTAAGAAATGCCTGAAACACACGTTACTTAATTAGCAAAATCAGAAAAGCAATTAGTATATTTTAACTTGGATTTGCAACAGGCTTAACTGCAAAAATATTTTATCGGTTAGGTTTTCCTCCATTTTTTGGGAAAAATACCAATGCCTATAATGTATTTAGCTCTACATGCAGTCACAGGCAACAGGGTTGTCTGGGTGGGAGAAGAGGAAAAGCATTCTAGCATACACGAAGAATCAGGCCTTCCACACTGCCATTCAAGCCACAGCAGCACATGCCAGTCTTTAAAAAGTCTTCATTCGGTTCACTCACTGGTCCATTCATTAACCATTTATGGAACACCTATTTGGGGCCATGTACTGTAGACTCAGATGAGTCCTGCCCTCAAAGAGTTAATGGGACTTTTATAGCCCTGCTTTACTGAAACTAAGTAAATTATTTCTGGTTGAAGTTCTAAATATCTGCTCTAGGGTCAGCTCTCGGGCATAAAGGAACATCATGGAAGAGCGAAAGCAGGTCCCCAAGGCCCAATCTACATCTTTATTCCACATTCAACTCCATAGTATTTGCTGTGGATTTCGACAACGGAAGGCGTGCTTCCAGCAGAAACCACCATTACAATGGACATAACTGGGTTGGAACCCAGCCTTTGGTTCTCCCCTTCCCTCTGTTACTCAGGTCACCTTCGTAAGCCCAGATCAGCCCTTTACCAAGATCCTCTGCGTGACCCCGCCTCACTTCAGTTCTAGGAAATGAAATTAGGACCAGACAACAATTCCAGAAATAAAGGGAACTTGGAAACCAAATGACTGAACCCACTCATTCTGCAGGGGAAGAAGCAGGACTAGAGAGAGCTGGACTTGTCCAGGCTGGCGATGCCAGAGTGGGGGACCGAGCACAGGCCATAATGATAACCAGTCTTCATCAGCTGCCTTCGTCCTGTCAGTGGGTCACTCAAATAATGTGGTGGGTTCTGTTTCCATCAGAAAAAAGCACTACCAATCACAAAGCTTTTACTGCCATTTTGGGGTAAAAAGATACTTACTTGGGCACTGTTGTTCCTGCAGAGCTTCTTGTAGATTTGATCAATTGAGACTGAGATGTGCTCAAAACACTGGCTGAAAAGATCATGTCTCCTTTTTTTCACCTGTTCAAACTCTTGCCTACACATTCTGGCTTCCTTTCTGCTGGCCTCAAAAGCTAAGAGAGAATCAGTGTTGTTTACTGTAGAGACCGTGGAGGGACTTCTCTTCAACTTTAAAGCATAAATTATTTTTTAAATTAGATTTTGATTGTCTTGAATAAAATCTACATGGGAAATAACTCAATTATTAACTCCATGAATATGGCTCTTATAACTGATAAGCCCTTTTTCTGATAGGGTGAATTTTAAAATAATGACAAGTTCTAATACAGTATCTAATATGCCTATTATGCTAATATAAAATATATTACCTGCTCGAAAATAACCAATAAACTTGTTTTTTAATTAAAGCAGAACACTTTTCAAAAGGGAAGCAATTAGTGATTCAGTATTGAAAGTACATATTAATATAAGACAACAAAGAAAAATATACATATAATAAAAACAAATGTACAATCCAGGGTGGGGCTGCTGAGAAGTGTTATAGAAATCAAAACCCAAACCCCCATGAGTATGATCTTGCTAAACCCCCATGAGTATGATCTTGCTAAAGTTCACCATCTGTGGACTCCTGAAACCTGTCTCGGACAGTCTTTAGGTTCTCCAAGGCTCTGAGGTTCGGGGCTGCTGTCCTCAACAGGACTTCTTCTTGCGAGGCTACTTGTTGCAGAAGGAGTTTAAGGTGGGCCTCAACTTCCTTATCAGATTGTAGAGCCTGTTATTGGCAGCGAAGAGCAACAATTAGCACGCCTTCTAGATCCCAACCGCTAAGGGATCAGGCACAGAGCCCTGTGGGGTCTGGCCCTGTCGCCCGCCCTCCCACACGGCCCTCTCCAGGCTGACATTCAGGTGCACTGTTTGTGCCCGCTCATTGGCTTCAGTTGGTGTTACAGACACTGCTCTCTTGGAATGTGCTTCACCTCCATATTAATCTGTCTAGAAAGCAACAATTCAGCTATCACCTTCATTTACTCTTTCTTTAAAAGTACTGACCATCTATTAGACACCGAGGATGCAACAATACAAACTTGCCCTTCAGGAGCTCTCTCTCTCTCTCTCTCTCTCTCTCTCTCTCTCTCTCTCTCTCTCACACACACACACACACACACACACACACACACACACACACGGCATCTACAGCATGTGGGACCCCAGCAGGCCAGCACGGGGACTGAGGGGCAGGGAGGGCCATCCCACCCACCTGGAGAGGATCACGAAAGCTGAAAGCCAAACAACGAAGAGCACTAGCTTGAGCGAGGAGGAAAGGGAGAAGGTGGTGGTGCAGGCCTGACCTTCTGGGAAAATGAGCTTCACCCCTCAGAGGGGGTGGTGAATATATGATAAAGATGACAATTTATTGGGAAAAGAATTATTTGAAAAACGTCGAGTAAATTGCTTAACTTAGGTACCTTTTTAAAAATAGATTATTTCATACCATATCCTAAATTCAATTTCAGATGAATTAAAACGATAAAGAGGAAAAAATATATTTATTCAATAATGAAGTAGGCAGGACTTTCTAAATAATAAAGCACTAAGTAGACTACAGGAAAGACAAAAGCGTTTTTCTGATTGCCTGAAGATACCACAGTGCGGCCAGAGCCCAACAATGTAACAAAGCATATGAAGAACACACGAGATGAAAAGCCGGAGAGGACACGGCTCTCTGCGCCCCTGCATTCACCGTTTCTGCCTTTCTCGCAAGCCCACGGAGCCATTTCTCCCCATGGGTCCGTGTGCCTGGGGCGGGGTGCGAGGGAGGTAACTGGTCAGGAATGAACATGTGTCCCAATTCAGGCCACTGTGATGAGGGGCCACTTGCTGCAGCTTTGCGGGAAAAGCCTCCTTAATGGTAAGAACAGCGCCACTGCAAAGGCCTCTCCCCCTGAAGGTCCTGGTTTTGGCTGGAAAGCCAACAATGGCTGCAGTCGCTTTGCCGTCCTGAGAGCATCAGCCTCAGGACAGCCAGACACCAAGAGCAGAGCGCCCACGCCCACAGGTGGCTGAGAGCGCAGAGCTGCCCTGGTCTGTGCTCCGCAGCTGGGAAGGACGCCACCTACTGGGCACTGCCTGGGACCTGCTAGGGGACAGTGAGGATGCTGGAGCACGCTGGCTCCTTCTGTCCACTGCAGGGCTTTTCAAAGACTTTCATGCTCATGGTGAATCTCCAAGAAGGGGGTAGCCTTTTAGAAAGCTGGCGACCAAGAAACCTTTCTTCTTTGGCAAGAGTTTCATGGTACAGTGTCCTACAAAACACTCAGAGATGCTGATACACACATTTAAAATGTAACCTATCTACACGATTTCTTTTTCTTTTTTTTTTAAATATATTGTATTGATTTTTTACAGAGAGGAAGGGAGAGAGATAGAGAGTTAGAAACATCGATGAGAGAGAAACATCGATCAGCTGCCTCCTGCACATCTCCCACTGGGGATGTGCCCGCAACCCAGGTACATGCCCTTGACCGGAATCGAACCTGGGACCTTTCAGTCCGCAGGCCGACGCTCTATCCACTGAGCCACACCGGTTTCGGCTACACGATTTCTTCATAAGCCATTAGGAAACCTACCCCCTCCAGCACTTATGCTCCATGGACTAAAACTTATTCTGCTTTATTTAAATTTTCAATATACTGTTGGTCATAGACAACGAAAACCTTCCAATTACCTTCAAGTCCTCTCTCAGAGAGCTGTAGTCTATCTCAATGGCTGCTTCTCTTTCATAGATGTCCATTGTGGCCTGGCTGCTTTCCGCTTCAGTTCCCAGCTGAAAAACACAGGAGACCTTTCCTTGTTACCGGAAGTGGCCGTCTCCGCTCATCTGTCTGCTCCAGTTGACTGTTGCCTCGCTCGGAGTAGAAGTGGAAATCTTGACGATGCCGCAGGGCCACGCAGGCCTGGCCCCAGCCATCCGTGCCAGTCTCCCTGCGCCCACTCTGCTCCGGCTGCACAGGGCAGGTGCACAGCCACCCAGGCCGGCCCACTGACCTCCACCTGGACAACAGTCCCTGAGATGTCTGTGTCCCTTCGCCACTCACCTACTTACCAACTACCTTTGCTTAGGCCACCAACAGCCTCTCCATCTAAGATGCAAACCTCCCCCCACCAATGCACTCAACTCTTTCCTGCTGTTTTTTTGACCTGCACCCACCATGAGTGTTCATGTTTACCGTTTTGTGTGTGTGCCGACCTGTCCCCCACTCGCATGTGGAGGAAGGGATTCGGCACAAGTGTTCACTGTGACTGCCTAGTGCAACCCCCGGCGACACTTGTTTCAGTTTCAACACGCATTAGCCTCTGAAGGAAGGAAGGGAGAGAAAGGAGGAACACAGAAACCAGCACTTATTCAGCTGCAGGCTTCCTGTCGGTGCAGCGCTGACACCAAACACCAAGATTCACAAATTAAGAGAGAAACCTGTGTCACCATTTCTTCCTAGATATTCTCTGAAAAACAAATGAGACTATTTGGGAATTCTGCCTACGTTTGATGTAATATATGCTAAAGCAGTTCACACAGAAGTTGAACCTGAATACAAAATGTGATACTGAATCCCCGAATCTCTCCATTCCATTTATGTAATTGGACATCGAATTTTGTATTCAACTTCCATGAGTCACCTGGTGACTTGCTACTCAAACCCTGGTCATGGGCCAGCACAATGAGCCGCACCGGCAGCCGTGAGAATTGCAGACTCCTGCGCAACAAGAGCCCGGCTGCTTTAGGCCCCAGAAAATTCAGAACCAGTCATCTGGTGTGGGCTCCGCACGTGAGCATCTCCTGTGAGAACCTGGCAGGGGCAGGTAGCTCTCTCTGCGTCTGAACACCTCGAGGGGAAGGGCCACC